TTTCCCTAGTTCCAAAAAGAAATATTAAAAGCAATACTGCAAAATAAAAAAACCCAGAAAAGTCTGTACTTACATTTGCCTTAAATCTTCTGGCACTTCCAGTTTGATCTTGTGAAAAGTATCTTTTGTTGCAGGTTTGTTGGGATTCACAGATCTTAAACGCTCAATTGTGACAATTTCATTGTATGTAGCATCACAGGCTGCATATTCTATTACATAAAACTGATATAAAAACAATAAAATCATCCAAGCCATATGTTTAATGACAAGAAAAAGAATTATGCTATGATTGTGTTGTGTGTAAAGCATTTTTTAAATTGTGCAAAAAACCTGCACTTCTTGTATTGCCAGGTAAGAGTCTACGGTAATTAAGAGGGACCTAATCAAGCTTTCTAACGCTGAAATAGTCTTAAAAATTACTTGAAAAAAATAAAGAAAAACACCTTCAAATCCAATGCTGAAATGGTTGCAAGAGGGAACATATTTATGAAAGAAAAATGAAATATGTAGTATATTCCTACCTCACCCTTTATCATTCTCACTTTAGCTAGCCACCAGCAACATGGTTCTTTTTCGTTGGCTCTGGAATAAACCTAAACAAAAAAGGTGTGTTGTGCAACATTTAAAATAAGAACTGGATTAAATTAATGAGGAAACCTGTGTAGGATTAACATAAAAACACATCATAAAAACCAAAACAGACTGATACTATGACTTAACTGGAAAATCTGAATTATATAGGTTCAATAAAACGTGAAGCAAGAGGCCATATCCCATTCCACCCATAAGGTGTTTAAGTGAGACTCTCTCCAGTCTACATGAGTCCTGTGAAACAATTAATGGAAAAAGTTGATGGTGGGGGGCAAAAATGCATCATTCTCTTTTTTGGGACTTAGTCTGAAGGTGGAGATAAAGGGGGATTATAAAAGTAACGTGTTTTCAGGCACTCAAGCACAGTGGAAAGGGATAATACTTAGACGCTAAGGGTGCCTGTACACATGTGGGGAGGCTGCTCCAATGCTCTGTAATCACAGTGTGAAGGAGCAGACTCGATTAATCTGTAGATTAATTGAGTCTGCTGGAGTGTGCTAATTAGCGCACTCCAGCCAGCCTCCATATCTCCTGTACCAGTGCCTCCATGCTTCAAAATGGTGGCAGGGGCACTTTAACTAAAGCTTTTTCAAGCCTCCACTTCTTAAAAAATGCCCTTAAATGTCTAGTAAGTGGAATGGGATTTGGCCCAAAGTACATATTCAAATACCACATGAAATATAACATTTCAGACATACTCTGGAAGATGCAATAATTTAGCATTCCAGGCATGCTAAATGGTTTCATCTGTAACTTTCCTGACTCTGTGCAAGTACTGAAGGGATACCATCAGCGCACAATGGTATGGAGTCAGACTGACACAAAGACTCTTTAACACAACAGAAATAGGTAAAGTCACAGCTACATTCAAATATTTTGCTGGCCCAACTTTGTTTAAAAGAAGATGACATCTTACTTCCAATCAACAAAGTTATACAGCCAAAGATTTGATGCAGGAACACAAACTAACAAAAAAGTGTGGTTTTGTCAGTATAGCCTATTTACTAAATGGCAATAAGCTATACTTGATATATCAGCAAAAATTAAGCATGGGCAACCTTAAGGAAGGAGTACCTTATTTTTCAATTTTAATGCTTCGAATCAAAACAGTGACCATAATTATTATATTTTTAATTAACTTTTGGCAAAAAGAAAAACAAAGTAATGGAACTATATTTGAATCAGCCAATGATTAACTCTGGCTTCAAAGACACAAAGAATTAGGTGCCTAGCTCCTGCTGACCATTGCTCTGTGCGCCTCCAAAAGCTTCCCTCGCCCTTAAAAAATATACTACTGGCCCATTCCATTCCTGCCAATATCTTGTAAAGAACAACAGTTTTATATTGTGTAGAATCAGATAATTTTGCACAAATATTACGTAATGTTAAAAAGGGATCCAACTTCCCACCCCAAACCTCCCAATTAAATCATCCTGTGCTCCAGCAGCCACAGGTGAATTCACGCTTCACCCCACTGAATCAATAATTTTGTCACTTGGCCCCACAGCTACATGGTTATTTTGTTTCCATAATCCACATGGCCATATCTCTTTAGTTCGCATCAATTAACTGGGGATATGAGGAAGATAGACAACTTACAGGTAGTTCCTCCACCCCCAGACCTATGGAAAGGTTCCCTTGTGAGCACGTAGACCAATGGAACTGGCAGGTATAACATCATGGATAATGGAATATTTCTAATTAGTAAATGTTATCTTACAGCTACATTCGAAGTGTACTTATTATAGAGCTGCTCATTTATCTTCAAGTTTTATTAACCTATAGCTCCTACATAAACTACAAGACCTATACATCAACTACACCAGTTCTTGCTAAAATGATCTGAACGTTCTGCCTGCATCACAATAGCAGTTTCCTTGATTAATGTAGACTTGGGAAGGAATTAAGCACTGTTTTACAAGCCAGCTGATAACACAAACAGGGCTCCATGAGAGCAGGGAAACAACTGTAACACACTAATCCCTAAAACATCCCAGATGTGGCTTACAACTGTCTAAATAAGCTCTTTAAACCATAGTCAACATTATGTGTAGTGCTTGGAATCAGTAAGAAGGCACATCAAGAACAAGAACGCCACACTGCAATTTTTTTTCCAGCTACTTAGGTGAGACACTTCTCCCCCCCCCATCCACATCTGTCCCCTACTAAAAAGTGGACTGTTTAAAACAGAATACATACCTCTACTTCATCACTTTCATTTATATCTTTATTATAACCTGTAGGTGGAGGAAACCTCACATCATGGAATGGAATTTGTCTCTCTGGCTGCCAGCTACAAAACAAAAACACGCAGAATGATTCAAGCACTTTCACTTTCTTTTTGAAGGTATGACCATAAGTGTCTTCCATCAGTTCGCTCCCATCGAAGCTTTTTACCAAAAGCTTATAAAAAAACTTCAAGAACTTTAAATTAATACAATCTACAATGAAAATACAGCAGAAAGACCTCTTTAGGATGCAGTTACATGTGTAAAATTAACAGAATTAAAATATCACTAAGGCAGTGGTTCTTAACCTTTTTAGACTTGAGGCCCCTCAGAAAAGGCCAGCTCTTAGTTTTCATTCATTCTTTGATTACAGGAAAATAGAACAATTCTTCTGTTACACAGAACTCTGAACGACCACAATAGGTCACTGTTTTTAAAACTATAGATTCCTATTTGAAATCTCTGGGTTTATCTTGTGAACCATGCTTGTAATATCTAGGCAATGTCTATTTTTACCTTTACAAAAAGGTTTGTTTACCATAGCTTTTCGTTACAACAGCTCTTATTCTAAAAAGCCATGGCATAATGACAGACTGTATTTTAAGTGTTCATTTTTAGGTACTACAAAATAGGCTTTAAAAGATACTGTTATTCCAAGTCACCCATAGGGTTCGAGATCTAAAGTCTGTACAAAGCCAGTATCAGTACTACACTTACTTGTTTTCAAATGCAACTGTTATGGAGTCTTCATGCACATCCTTAACAAATGCCTGTAGGAGAAGAATTAATAGAATTATAGACACTACAGATATTTGGTTTAAAAAAAAAAAAAAAAAGGGGGGGGGGATGGACAGGGACTTCTTTTTCCATAATATTGCTGCTGAAAATGAAAAAACTAAATCAGGTCTCAAATCAACTGTCCTCTACTTAACAATGTTACTTTAAAATAGGCAAAAGCCACAAAGTCGATGACATCTGGTTCATGGGTGCCAACATGGAGATAGGCATAAACAAAGCTTCAATCATGCCTGTACTCTTTTCTATTCACTACTTAAAAAGAACGGTATAGAATACTAAGAGAAAGTAGAATGTCAACCACATTATACAGAATTATCTTCTACAGTTTTGACTGTAAGCAGTCCAAGCAAGGCCTTTTACACCTGTCCTCATACCCTTGCCTCCTCAGCCTTTTTCTCTTCACCTCAAAATGAAGTTTCCACATCAACATCAAAACTCAGAAGTCTCCACTTCTTCCAAATTGCATTTAGATTCCTTCTACCACCATCACTTGTCTTTTCAAACTTTCCTCCTAGCTGCTGTGCCACATATTGCTGTAGCCTTGAACGTAGTTTAAGATGTGAAAGGCCTGGGGTAGAACTGGGATACATCTGGGTGATGATACCGAGTAGAACCAGTTCTTACCTCCAAACTGAATACCTACTAACATTTTAAAAATTGCTAGCTCTTTGGGCAATGTCACATTTTTGTTCTCCACTGTACAGCACCTAGCACTGATGTTCTAGTCCTTGGGTTGGAATCCTACTCACTACAGAGATACAATAAGTATGCGTGTTAATTCCACCATCTCCCAGATGAAATGGACCAAGTGTTATCAGAAAGGGAAACACAGAAACATGGTACCTAAACTGAAGACTAACTCAGGATTCTTTATCGCATGCATTTCTTGGGAAAAGAAATTACACAAACAGCGAAAATAGAAGAATAATCTCTGGTGGAATGTGATCTCTTCTTTGTGACATCCTTTAAACCAAAGTTCTGGCAGGTCACATGGAAATCCTTTGCCATAGTTACGGTCACCGAGGAAAAAATGTTGCCCAACTTCTCCAGGTATGCTGAATATAACCCACAAATTTTACATCCATTCTTCTGATGGTTGCATGGGTATGCCCAGTTAAAAATCCAGATTTTCCTATAGGGCAGGTCTTCAAAGTAACTGGAGCCTCAAAAGAAAAATAATTTAATTAAGGAACACTAATGAGGAGTGGCAATAAATTTGACTGTTCTTGCTATGATGTTCAAAGAAGCAAGAAGTGCAGAGGTTTACACAACACATGCCTCTCATCTTTTGCCATTTTCCTTTTCTTTGACAGACAGTCCAAAAGAGAAAACTAGTCCTGAAGCTGGTATAAAATTAAATGTTGATGGTACCTGCACAACAGCAGGCAATCTTGAAACTAATGTAACATATTCAATTCAGTTCATATTAAGCAAGAGCAGGAAAGTAAAAAAAAATATGGTCTATGGAACTGTGCAATACAGCCCATAGGGCTCTTCCAGGGGCCAGGTACTTGGAAGTGGAGACCACCACTGAATTCAGGGGAATGGACTCCCATGGGGACGTATTTTGGCAGTGGTAGGGCTAGTAATGACTATGCTAGGCCCCAGGCTCCCTTACATTGCTCACTCAGTTGCTAGAGTTGGATCCAGTTCCAACCAAGGGGAGCCAGGCAAGTTGAACACTACAGAGTTAGCATCAGTCATAGGAATCAATAATTTATTTTTACAATAGCATTCACTGCTATATTTTCCTCTATTATGGTACTTACAAAGAGAAAGATGCAGGATAAAATGGTGAACTTCAGTGTAGATATGTGATATATGTACAAGTTTTCTGCCCATAATGCCAGAATTCGTTGAAATGAACATGAGCAGGCTAATATGCCAAGTACATGTACACATATCTGTTTTGCTCAGAAGTGACAAGGCATTTAAAATGCAAAGTCAGATCCACTGGCACATAAGCCCAGGTCCAGAGGTCAGTGAGGGTAAAGTCATGGTCTAACAAAACACCACCATATTTACCTGATTCCAAGATGACTTTGAATTTAAGACAACACTGGAATAATTGGATTTTACACAGGGAAAACTATAAATTGGTTATAACTTTCCAGATACAGCACCTTTTATTGGAGGCTCATCTTAAATTTGCCCCCAGTCTGTCCGCCTATGCCTGACCTGCATCTCCCCTGCCACCTGCCCCCCCCACCCAATCCCCCAACCCTTGCTGCTGCTTGATTCCCACTTTGTGCTGCTGCGCCATCCCCCAACACACCGCTACAGTTTCTTCCAATCTGTGCTTCTGAGCCATCCCCTGACCCATGCTTCCAATTCATCAGCAGCATGCACTGCTGCCCGATCCTTAACGCACACTGCTGCCCCATCTCCCTCCCAATCCCCAACTCATACTACTGTCCCATCCCAATCCCTAGTCCCAACCCCTGACCCACTCTCACTGCAGTGCTGCTGACCCCATGTCTCCAAGCCACAGGGCAGCCCCCACTCTGACCTCAGGGCCAAGCTGCAGTGCTGGTACTCAAATCCAAGACAAGACCCAATTTCCCTCTGTCGACCAAGGGGAAAAAAAACAACCCTCATTTTGGATTTGAGTAAGTACAGAGTAGAAGAGTAGAGAAAGAAGAGTAGACTTTCTTTCTAAGAACAATGTAGGGATTTCCCAGTCGTCTTAGAGATAAAAAAACTGCAAAAAAAAGATGAAAAGAAGGAAGGAAATATAAAGGTGCAGAGGCACACCAGGTCTCAAGGTCATAAGTAAGGGATGGAGGACTAGGCAAGATAAATGCGTGAAAAAATACCGGGGGGTGGATGAGTTGACAAGGAAACCTGGAAGCAGTTCCTACTATAGTAATCTATTTGGATAGAGGGTTAAAATAATGATGTTTGATAAAAAGAGTGAGAGCAACAAACAAAGTAACATTTAGATTGAAAGAAGATGCTATCTGAAAAAAATAAAATTTCCAGAGGTTTTGAGTACAAAAAATAGTTTTTTTTTACCCTTGCTGCTATATTGCCAGAGAGCACAAAAATCTTTAGCATGTAACAGAGAGCAGTCTCTACTACATTTTACAATACCAAAAGTTGTGCAGCATGTGAAAAAGTCAGCGCAGTATACTTTTATCACATACACTGAAAGAAAGGAGATGTCCAAGGTGGTACCATTAGAAGGATGGATAGGATGGAGATAAACATAAAAGATGACAAAGTTGACGATTTGATGGGAATGAACTAAGCAGGATCCTGAAAACAAACACAAAGAAACCGTTATAGAATGCAGTGGGGACAGATTCTGAAGGGTGTGAGGTGAACAGAACAAACAAGAAGGATGGATTATTTCAACGGTAGCAGTTTGGATGGAGACAAATGAAGTATCCATAATGCCAAAGGGATAACGGACAAACAATTTAGCTTTTTGGATGGAAAGCAGCAGCATATTTCAACAAATTGTATACAGGAAGAAAGAAGATTGCCACTAGAAGTTGATGTAGGGTCAAAAAATGACTTCCAGAGACAGGCAGGCAGGTGATCAACAGCAAAGAATATGCTGTTGGTACTGGAGGTACTGGTTAGTGAAACTACTAGCATATCGGACATGAAAGGTATTCAGTTGCTTAACCCCACTGACTGCTCCCCTTAAATAACTGTATACAGCATTTTCTAACTTACACCCAAAGTGCACTGTATACTCCAAGTATTGTTAGGCAACTACTTTGTTCTTATAGCACAAGTCTTGGAATAAACCTACTTCAGGAAAAAGGGAAACCTACTTTTATGTCCGTATCACATAAGCAAGATTTGTTACATAGTATCTTTTACTGGACTTTCTAATGAACATGGTTGTATTAACAAGTTTTACATCTAGAGAGCAACATTGTGAGAAAACGAGATTAGTTACAGTTTTACAGCGTGCTTTAAGACTATCTAGTAAAAAAAGACTTAACTCTGATAATTTACTTCTTATTTCATTTGTAGTCAAAATGGAAAAATATATTTTTAGATAGGCACCATGGTCCTGGAAACTGATGATGAGATGAAGTAACACCTCCTTATTTCCAGATCTCATTTGTGTCAATAACTTTGTAAATGGTCTGTGGCAAGTCACTTAGCCTATGTGAATTTCCTCATATCTAAAAGGGGAACAATAAATTTGATGTACCTGTGTAGTGCTGGTTTCAGAGAGTTCATTAGTAGCTGTATTGGCATGAGCACACAAACAAGTTACTGAGGCGCGAAAAGGGGTAGGGATTTATCATGCATAAGATGCTCCATGGTAACTGCTTGCATGCATGTTTAAAAAGGAAAATCCTGAAGTACTATTCTAAAATGTACTACTAAACTAGAGAGAAATAATTTCTTATTCTATTAATGGGAGCATCTTTACACTTTTCCCTCTGCTTCTGACCATCAATTCCCCTCATGAAACTATTGCCATTATCCTGAGCTGGTTATGCATTTTCCTTCATAAAAGACTGACAGTCATTTTAGACAAGTTGCATCAATTTGTTGGTAAATCAGGTTGCAAGTCATGTGGTTACTACCCACAGTATTTCCTAGTATTAGATATAAATTCTGATTCATGACATCCCAACGAATGAGAATCCTAAATTTTAATTTTACCAAAGTATTCCTCTGAAAAGTGGAAAACAAACTGTACAGTACATATATTAATGAGTTCAAGAGGAGTGGCTGCTCCTCAAGGGAGCGATCCTCAATGCACAAACTAAGTCTATTCCATCTCGGAGGGAAGGCAGCAAGAGGGCACAGCAGCCCTCCTGGCTCTCCAGGGACCTAGCAGATCTCCTGAGGCTAAAAAGAAAGGCCTACAAAGGGTGGAGGATGGGAGTCACCTCCAAGGAGGATTATTCTGCACTGGTCCGGTCCTGCAGGGAGCAGACCAGGAAAGCCAAAGCTGCAACTGAACTCCAGCTAGCTTTGAGCATCAAGGACAATAAGAAGTCCGTTTTCAGATATGTGGGGAGCCGGAGGAAAAGCAGGGGCAACATTGG